ACTCTTTCTAAATCTTGTAGCATTGGCATATTGTTATTGTTTATTCTGTATAAATTATAATTATACGACACCTATTTTCAGCCTATATAATTAGTCTGGAAATTTGTAAAACAAGTAAAATATTTATCAAGTACTTGCAGTTAGTAGGCGTAGTATATGAGCTTTTCTGAATGAAGGATTGCCGTGCGGTCACGGATGATAGTACCAGTGAATTAATAATCTGGTTGGTGATATTAAAATGGTATTTGTTATTCCAGAACCATCTTTGTAAGGAATGTCTGTAAATGAATAAATAAAACTGAAACTACATGTATACGATAAAGACACAAACACCGCAGACATTTTTAGTTTTTTCATAGCGAATTTTCTGATAATTATTTTCGGTAAAACAAGTTTGAAAATGATTTATAACAAAGAATGTTGTTTCCCTATGTTTTATAAAATCTCAAACTGCATCGTCGTCCTTCAAAAAATAACAGCCTTCGCTTGTTTACTGGAATTGAGGTAAAAAGAAACGAACGTAAAAATAAACCTTAAGTTTTCTTTTTATTTCTATACTTGTTTATAAAATTATGTTTGTATTCTTCTTTTAAATCTATATCCCTTTTAAATATTTTCATGCAATTAAGTATAAAACTTTACTAAAACAAATGTTATAAACTTGAAAACACGTAGCTTAAGGTCTTCAGCGTACCCGTACAATATGACATGACGTGAACGCTGAAGACAGACCCGTAGGGAAAGTCCACCAATAATCGTGCCAGGAATCTAACACGCTCGTATTCATTTATCGAACATGCCATGATTCAAAGTGAAGCATATTTTGATAAAACTATATATAATCTGTTGATAAGCCAAGGATAGACAAATAAAAATCTTATTACGAACGTTAACTACCTAATAGTTTCCGACAGGTAAAAAATTAGCACTTGGCCGCCATATTGCCAAAATGTTTGACCACGTGATTACGAGATTAACCTTTACGAACCAATGTTATTCCAACTTTTTATAAATTGCTTTTTTAAAAGATATTGAAAAAAAGGTGATTTACTGAATTTTTTATTCAATATAAATATATCTAAGTACTAAAAATAAAGAAAATAAATAAAAACATTATCTTGAATTATAAATATTGAAATCATGTCAACAAAGATGTTCTAAATATAGTGCACGACTCTACTTTAATCGGCTCTCTCGAATGAGGTCAAACGAGGTCTCGCGTAGTTCCTAAATGTCATGACTGACTGTAATCGGCGTAATGCTGCCCTCACACATAAACCACGACCTTACTGCGACCTGAAAACTAGTAAAATAGCATTTTTCTTTCGAAAATCGTTGGTTTTCTTTCAATTTCCAAATTTCTCTCGCAGACGGTCCGGGGCTCTGCAGTCTTGTGTTCAGTACGTTTTCTCTATGTCCTCAATACGACCCTTCTACGTCCATGGCGTTTCCACTGCGACTGTATTGCGTCCCCAAGGCGACCCCACGGCGATCATCGGCGACCCAGCTGCGACTGTGCTATGTTCTCTGCGTCCTTACGGCGACTCTACGACGGCTATTGCGTTTGTCCGGCGACTGTCCTGCGACTGTACGACGACCCTTCTACGTTCTTGCTACGTCTATAAAAACAATACTTTTTACCAGTAAATTTCATTCTGAGTTTGACCTTCAACGAGTGAAGACGTATATTTAATTAGTATTAAGTTAAATCATCCATATTATTCCAAAGATGAGAGGCGGACGAGGCAAAAGAGCGAGGGTCTCTAAAGTGCTACAAGTTGACCCAGTCGCCGCTTCAGATATGCAGTTTGGTAGTGGTTCACAGTGTGTAGAAATCGCGGCTTCATCCACTGGCGGAGACGCATACAAACAGTCTTCTAGTGGTCCACAGTCTGTTGAAACAGCGGCACCGCTATCAGACCAAGTCTCCGAGTCGGACACTCAATCTACCAGTGGTAAACAGTGTTACAGTTCTTCAAAGGCCAATAAGTCTAGGTTGATGATGAGAAGTGACCTCACAGCTGAAGATGAAGAATCCATGGTCGAGTGGTTGAGAGAAAACCCGTTGCTCATGTTGCTCCTGAACAAGAATCATGTATTGAGCCAGTATTACATTATCCATTTTCACACACCGATGTTAAAGCACTGACTGCTGAAAGCGAACTGAAATTCTAGATTTTTAAGCAAAAGTCTAATGAAAATGGTAATCGTACTAGGGTCGCACTAGAAACGCAGTGCAGCCGTACAAAGGTCGCCATAGTCGCAGTACAATCGCCGTAGAGTCGCAATGGACGCAGAAGGGACGCACTAAGGACGTAGTAAGATCGCAGAATTTTTCTTATTCTCTGTTCTAACAGCACTGAAGTCGCACCAAGAACGCCAAGGATGTAGTAAGGACGTGGTAAGGACGCAATAGTCGCAGCAAGGACGCAGAAGCGTCGCCAAAGGTTTCCGAGCAATTTCTTGTAATTTCATCGGTGACTCTACGGCGTCCTTAGTACGAGTGTACTACGTCTATTGCGTTCTTATTGCGTCCTTACAACGATGCTGCTGCGACTATGGCGACTCCACTGCGATCCCACGGCGACCTAACCAGGACTCAGCAAGAACGCAGAGTTTCTGCGACTGTTTTGTGCATGTTCAAAATAGTCGCCGACGGTCTGCGACCTTGTGCGTCCTTGGGTTCCTCGCTACGACCTCGCTGCGTCCCTGCTGCGTCCATGGCGACTGTGCTGCGTCCTGGGTCGTAGCAAGGTCGCAGTAAGGACGCAGCAAGGTCGCGAGGTATGTGTGAGGGCAGTATAACTGATGTTTACGTTTAAATAGGCAATTTTAATGACGGTATGAATATTTTGATACTTAAATGGTTTTATCGCAAAATGCACAAGAATTTATAGTGACAAGGGTATTTGCAAGTGAAAAATAAGGTTAAATCAACTTATGTTATTCTGGTTAGGTTTCATAACGGGTCTTATTTAAAACTTTAATGCCGCATCAGATGAAAAAACAAAAATATTAAAAAGCGACTTATAAAGTTTTTGAAGCCAGAACTAGAAAACACAGACAATACACGGACATCAATTGATAAGATGTAACCGACTGTGAAATATGTATATATGTTAATGTAATGTTTATACATGTTTTCCATGTATGTAATATAATTGTCCTTATAGGCATTAACCATTTACTTAATATAAATATATAAACACTTTATATATAGTTTTACTAGTGAAACTTGATGAAATGATTAGATAATTACGTGAATAATATATACATGTTTAAAATGTTTTGAATCTTCGTGTGCAGTAAATCGGGTTAGTTTATACAAACTTTATATCATTAGTTTAGTTGTATAGTAAGCTACGTACAAGCTTATAAACTCCTTAATTTGTTCTATGAAAAATCAGAACTGGGCAATAACATTTGAATGAAGATTCTTCTTCAAGGAAACAACGATTTACAATAAATTGTGTTACAAAAAGGGAGGCAAATTCTTTTTCGCATAAAACGATAAATTATCGTTCTTTCAAGAATTTTAATGAACAAGTATTTAAAAATGATTTGAATGCTATTAGTTTTGATATGATTGAAACTATTGCAGAGCCAAATAACTCACTTGATGTTCAATACAATATGATTTAAGCATTATTTAACAAACATACGCCTGTTAAAGTCAAGCGTATTTAAAGGACTAAACAACCAGATTGGTACTCCTTAGGTTTGAACTAACACGACATACAGTCCTTACTGGTATGACGCGTTAACATGTAACTGTATATTGATTCTTCAAAAGAAAAAGTATCTGTTAATAATAATAATTAATAATAAATTAAGAAAATCATTTTCTGTCCTTTTTTGTTAAAAATTATATCTTCTAACGTGGCATTTAATTGGAATCATTTACCCCGCTGCACTATTTGATCTTTGGCTTTTATCATTGTTGTTTGTTTTCAAATGAATATCACAGTCTCTCTTCCTCATGGTATCATTATATGTGTAAGCTTCAACGAAAACATTTTTATCCCCAAATAATGTGTACATATATAATTCGCAATTTAATATCTAAAATTTAATTCTACATATTCTTGTATAATGTGACAAACATATGTCGCGCGCGTGGCGCGTTCGCGGAGCAGACGTGATGCCCATTATATGTAATAAAACAATTTGCAACATTTTTCATTGACATTAACGTCCGTACTAATTATCTAAGTGTTATTTGATGAGACAGTGAACAAATTGTCCATTCGACACCATGCTTAACATAGCCCCCAGAAACTAGTGTAGTTTCATTTTAGAAATTGAGCGCAGATCGTCTAAGATTCACTCTTAAAATTCAAATGATCTTTATATATCGAGACGCGTCCAGGTCACAGTAATAGCCTAGTGAATAAAAGGGTCTTTGAGTTTTAAAGTTTAGATATTGCGTAAGTTATAGAAAAATATAATATTTGTATTTCTAATATTTTCTAGTAATGTATTTAAATATGTAAATGCATTCATTAACAAACACAATGCTGTTTCTATAGCTGGGCAAAAACACACTGACATTTCTCTTTTACATATTTGTATCTAAAATCTCTGCTGTATTCGCTTTTATGGTGTGTGTAAGAGTAAAAAGGAATATATTTTCTGAATCAATACCAGTTTTGCTCACAATTATATATTCAATGTAGCTATGCAATTATTCATACCAACATTTTCAGCCAAACCAGAATGTCACCCGGTGTTGCATGTACAATAAACATCGTGCTGTTCCTCCGGGATTACAAATTAGAGCTGTCACGATTCTTTTTGGAGACACGACTATTTGATTGTTGCCTCCAGCTATAATGTATCACAGATGGGAATAAAGTTCCAAACTGTTCGCCGACTTTGACATTGACTTATAGAATCGCTTTTAGATATCCACTTTTAATGTACATAACTGTATCTGATCGCCGTGTTGTAACGCGACGTTTGGTTGGTCCATAATTATCTCTGTATTGATCCAATTTCAGATTATACGTGAGGAACAGTGAGCTAAATGTGTCGTCTGCTGTCATTTTTTCTACAAGGATACTAAATTGCAACTCTGTGAAAAATTGGATAAGACTAAATAGTCGTTTTAGATATTTTGACAGTGCGTTTTAGAAGTGTACTGAAACTTGGAACTACAGGAATTTTCATTCTGTTTTGTGTGTATATATTCATCTTTTAAGAAGGTATGTTTTCTGCTATATTTAGTAAAACTTAAATTTATGCTTCAAACTTTAAACTTTTGGAAAAAAAAATTTCGCTTTGTTTGAGGAGATATGCTTGCATCTTTGCTTAAATGTATATGCAATGAAGGAAGAGCTGCTGCTATGACATTAGAAAAAAAAATTATAAATACAAATTATACATGTTGCTTTTAATGTTATACAAGTATGTAATTCTCAAAAACATGTAATTTGTTTAAGAGAGGGTGAAATATTATTACTTAAACTTTAAATATATAAACTATAAAATTTCAGTAATAATTTAGTTATTTAACTTTAAATAATTTTGTTTGCACATCTCTTATCGCACAGCTCAAAGGATTTTCTCCTGTAATACACTGTACATTATACCTTATGAGGGGTTTATTTAGAATATATAATGGTAAACCACCTGCCTTAACGATAAGATATAAGTCGTCTGACACTGTAGTGTAAGCAACGTTTATCTCTGTAGAATATCCGAATTACTATGTCAGGGCCGTTGTAAGCCATCCATTATAAAGTCCTTAAAAGCCAATTAGCGACAGAAAGGATAAAATGGTAATCACGCGCATCAAAAGAGCTTAACTGCTAAACGTATATAACGTAACTGATGCTACGAGTTATTAATTTTCTTTTGTATTATTCGTTGCAGAGAATAGGGAAACTATGTAAATTGAATATCACTTCATAGACCATAAACTGTCTAGTAGTACTTATGTACTTCTGAACGGGTCATGACCGCCAATATAACGTTCTCTTTTTCTTCTTTTTTTTTTGTTTATAGAAATACCCTATATTTTTTTATTAGACGTAACCAGCATTGAATTTTAAAAAATGTTTCACTTCTAATAACGAGTTTTCAGTTTTACAGAATAAAAAAATCTGGTAAAATAACAGCTAAGAAATTTCGTCAGGCTTCAAGGAATTTCAGACTAGCTTGACCTTTGGATTCGTGGCAATAGGCAGTAGACACTATCCCCATTGGTGCTCAGAATTTATAGGCGTTCCATGCACTTAAACAGTATTGAATATGCTGCCAGAGATGGTACAATCTATAAATTACAAAACAATGATATTTTAAAATATATCTACATTATAAGTGACCACAACGATACCTAGGATCGTAGAGTCGTGCACGAAGAAACAAATCTCTTGTCATTTACAAGTTTATGCGCGGAGCCGATGCACACATGAGCCATTGGCGTCATATAATACCAAGGCCTCGTAAAATCCTCTCAATTGATATGAAATACTAATAAAGTGACAAATCTATCTGTACAATAACGGTAACATGATGCTCTCGACAAATTCCTGAAATTGGAATAATTTAGTACAAAACAACTCTTGCTCGCTGTGTTTTTGCTAAATTTCATTGGAAACTGACATTTTAGAAGGGTTCTTTTTTCACCGTCACAAATTATAGCTTCTAGGACGGAGATAGGAGCGTCATTCTATCGGAAAAGGCGAAAGTAATGCGTGTTTTATTAGACCATATTATGCGAAAAAAATGTTTTACTATAACATTTGGTCCTGGAATCGTGCCTTGAGCAGACTAATCTTAGAAGAGCTTGGCAAGTTTCAAATTGTCCGAGATAAAAAGACGCATTGAAGAACTTTTAAGACAAGTTTTCCAGCTTAACTGATCAGAAAACATTGCAAAAGTTTTAATCAAATAAGCCTTATGGTTGTAACTGTAATTGTGTCCATGAACTCGAGTTTGACCTACAATGTTATGGTCGTGTGTTGCGTGTATTCGTGCAGGGATTTTTTCTAAATGTATTTTGTTAAGTAAAAACAAAGTATCATTTATTTGAAATTTTTGATATTTAAAATAAAGAGTTATCACTCGTGATTATGAGAAAAAACGAACTCATCTTGTGAAAAAATCAAAACTGCTTAACCTAGTATTTTGAAGAAAAATAGAAACAACAAATAAATGAATTACTGCAAATGTATTCTAGTTGTGGAAAAAAAACGAAAAGAGTATAAATTAGTCTCTAGTTGCTGCATATTTAGTTTGTATAAATATCACAATTAACATTAATTCATTCTTTATTTCTACTACAAACGAGTTGTACATTAAACGGTGCAAACGCTATGTAAATTAACATTACGACGTCCGATACAGTACAGTGCATGTGAAGCAAAAAGGTTGCATTTTCACGAATTGTTTAGCTTCGAGTTGCATGTGAAACGCAAATACTGCATTTTCACCAGATTGCTTTAATTGTTAATCGTATATTCTAGCATGTAAAACCCGTGCAAAACACATTTCTTCCCTTAAATGCAATATTATTTCGTGTTGCATGATTAACGCGTGTTATGGTTTTTCAACAGTAGAAAAATCACATACACTTAACTTATGTGCCTTCATCATGCTACTATAGAAGTTGATTTCATGTATGTACATGTAGTCTTAGGCGAGGCGAAAATGCGATAGTAAGGAATCACAAAAAGGTGAGAGTAAGGCTACAAAAAGGCGATAAGAATTAAACACAAAAAAGGCGATGGTAATTAAAAAAAAGAAATCACAAAAAGAAATAAAAAGGCAACACAGTAAGGCGATAGTAATGTAACTAAAAGGCGATAGTAATGTAACAAAAAGGCGATAGTAATGTAACAAAAAGGCGATAGTAATGTAACAGAAAGGCGATAGTAATATATCAAAAAGGCTATATAAATGGAACACAAAAATGCGATATTAAGGTAACAAAAAAAATGATAGCTATATATAGTGAGGTAACAAAAAAGGGGCATAGCTATTTATATATAGTAAGGTAACAAATAAGGCGATTGTGACGTAACAAAAAGGCGATAGCTATATATAAAGAAGGTTACAGAAAAGGCGATTAAAAGGTAACAAAAAGGGCGGTGGAAGAAGCACAAAAAGGCAATGGTAATGAAACACACACACATATGAGAAAGTATGATGAAACAAATATACGACAAAAGATGACTGTTTCATGATTTTGAGTTTTTCATACATCATGTGATTTAGAAGTTTTCGTACTGGTTCGCCCCGTCATTCGGAAACCCACACACGATTTTACATATGCTACAATATGCTATATTGAGCGTTCGGTAATGCAGATTTACCTAATGATGCATTCTTTTGTATCTACCTACGTGAATAGTTTGACATCCGCCTTTAATGAAAACAGTTTTGCTTTTAGCAGCTGTAGCCTTGAAAGATTGTGTAACAATGTTATACACTGTCTCACATCTATACCACACATCGGGTTTTTACTCTCTATTTTATGATGTCCATGTATTTGTATATATTCAACATATATACTTTCAGCTGGTGCATTGCAATTTTTTTTGTATAATTGTTGTTAAATAATTATAATCCTACTTGATTTAACACATTCTTATACTACATTAAAGTCTTTATTTGCCAGCCGTAAATTCGACGGATAATGCATTAGGCATAGCTTGAATTGTTAGCCCGATGGCGGCACTGAACCTGCCCATGCGACCATTTGAGGACCAAGATCTGCCGACACGTCCTTGACTTTTAATCATGGTCTGCACTGTTTAGTCAATAAATATTTTGAAATTTTCTCTTTAGATGATGGATTGTTTTGTCCAGACTGAAAGACGGACAAGTCTTTTTGAGATATTAAGCGTGGTGAAGGGTTAATTGCAAACTACGTTTATTCGCACACGAACCGAACTTGATTCTTTCATGCAATCGTTTAAAATAAAAATAGTTTAGAATCTAAGATTATCTAAGTTTATGTCCAATTTATTAAAACATTCTTTACTGATTTTGAAAAATGTTTAAAGATAAAGGGTTTTGATCCAATGTTGATACATGCTTTTCTAAAATAAGTGATATGATATTAATATATGATATGATTTGATATGATACAATACAATAAGATACTATTCGATACGATACTATACACGATATGATATTATTTGATACGATACGATACGATACGATATGATACGATACGATACGATACGATATGATATGATATGATATGATACGATACGATATGATATGATATGATATGATATGATATTATATTATATGATACGATATGATATGACATGACATTGAACATAGTGCACTTAAGTTGTTTCCATACGCTATTTGACTGTAACATAAACAATGCACGGGTAATTTAACAATTATTCTAGTCTGGCGTATTACAGAGCCTTATTAAGCACGTATTGACTGTTTTCATAGAAATGCCAGTTGCAATTATATATTCAGCGTATGTAGCAAAAGACGTTGAAGAATAAAAGATTTACATATTTATTTAGTAACTATTAATCACGAATATAAATAAATACGAAAGCACGTCTAACAAATTTCAATTTCTTAAATGAAAATAATATATCTTCTTATGCTTATTTAGTTTGGCTTGATATAGTTAAATAACTGTGTAAAGTTTAACTCATATAAAAGGCACATGACTCTAAATTCTTCCCATTTATCAAACGGTGTTTTCTTAAAGATTGTCAAATCGGCAACATTCAGCTAATCAGACGACTTTTATGCCGATCAATAAATTTCAATCACCGGTGTTTCCTTAGAGATCAAACATAGCAACTAATTCAGAAGCCCACATGCTATTTGTACATTAAATCATAATTCCCCTAACTGTGTGCTTTGTGCGGTCATTTGTATTTTTCTCTTTAAAAAAATTCTATTATGGTCTCCTTTGCCAAACGAATCAGAGAATTGCGTGTTTCGTCCAATATAAAATCACAGTTTCCAATTTCGCCGCGTCTGATATTACTTTATAATGATACGGCTCATTCGAGGCATTATTCAGGGATGAAACGCATAAAATCGCAGTAAATGCGACACTTTTAGATATTGTATTATATAAGTAGAACAATTCTGTAAATATAGTTAAAGAATTATTTCTATATTTAGAAGTATAGTGCTTTTTGTTGAGAGAGAAATAAAAAGCAACATTTTGATAGATACATGATTCAATGTTATTTTAAGGATTCTTTCTTTC